CCTTTATAGGTTGCTACTTAGGCATTTCTTTGGCTTAACTGTTCCTTGCTGTGTGTGTAATCACGCATATGAATCTGAGTCAGACTTTCAGATATTGTGTAAGACATGTTTCTGGCCTTCCCCTGAAAAGGAAATCCAGTATCTTTTAAATTTTAGAATAAAGTGGCATTACTAAATGGTAAGTATTTTTCCATGTGATTGCCAGTACACAGTGCAAAGTTCAGTAGACCTTAATATAAATCAGCTGACATGGGATCATTAATTCTATACAGTGCTCTGAAATTATGCCTGTTGACATCTTGAAAAGAATATTTTACTACTTTTCCGGAAGCTAACCAAACAAAAATTACTGTACAAACTTTTTTCACTCGTTTCATGTTTTTTGTTTATTTTCTTTAATCTCTTCCAAGAAAGTCTTTTGCTTTATTACTTTGGGATTCTTGGGAGGAATACTTTATACCTATTTACAGATTTTTGTAAACATTAGAAAAAATGTATATAAGAAACAAGAGCTTGTGGCTGACGTGATAGGCATTTAATAAATGGTTTTTAGTAGTAGTAGTAGTAAAAGATACCTCCAGAATGAGAGAAATTTAAGAATTATGCAATTTCATCTCTTCAGCAAAATTAGTATACATAATAAGGATTATTAAAATTTTGCTAAAAGTATATAAATGCAGCAGAATTTGTAATTGAGAAAACTGGACACAACCGAAATGTTCATCATATAAATATTCTATGAAACAATGGGATATAAATATATATTTAGATGTGAACACGTTGCTGTTTAGCCCATAAGTGGTAGGTGACAGGTTCATTTATGGCCTGGTGGAGTTTAAACCTTACCTCTCTGAAGAATGTGATTTGTGGAGTTTTTGAGCTATGACCAAGTGAAGAATTCTGAGGATTTAAAATAGGATAGTTTTATTTTAAAGGCACTAGAATAATATGATGACATTTCCCCATTGTATACACTTAGATTATTTCTAGCTGATCATTTGAAATGTGAAAGTCCAGGCCCGGTTTTCAGAATATCCACTTAATTTATTGTTCCTCTTGATTTGTAATTCTGAATTCTTATAATGTGACAATGCAAACTGAATATATACACACACAAAAACACACACAAACTGGACTAGACATTCTGGTTTGTCCTCTTGTAGATAATTATTCAAAAATTTAGTAATTCAATTAATAAATGAGATTTTTGAGTGTTTTGGAATGTCCAAGCCTACTCTGGCAGGAGGGAGGCATGAAGTAAGGGGAAAATTAAGTACGAGTTTTAGAGGCTTTTATTAAAGTAGGTAAATGCTACTTTAAAAAAAGTAGCATTTTTATTTTTATTGGGAAAATTTTCCCATTTTTATTGGGAAAATTTGAACATTTGATTAAATCAGGAGGATTATTGAAAACTGCCACCCATATTTATTGAGCACTACCTCAATCCTACAAAGTCAGTCTATTAGTAATTATCCTTATACTAGAGGCCCGATGCATGAAAAGTCATGTACTGGAGCAGGGGGTTCCTCAGCCCAGCCTGCCCCGTGTCACAGTCCGGGAGCCCTCAGGGGCGGGAGGAGACCCGGCGATCAGGGGAAGGCAATGCCCCATCACTACCAGCAGCAAAAGCCTTGGCTGGCCCTGGTTATCTGAGCCTTGGGTGGCCCTGGGTGGCTGGGAAGCCGACATCTGAGGCTTGCCTGTACTTCGAGCCGGCCTTGGGCAGCTGTGGGGCTGAGGGGACTGGGGGACTCTGGAGGTCTTGCTGCACACCTGCCATCCCTGCCATCTCAGGGGACTGAGTGCCACCATCTTGTGACTGTGGGCACCGTTATATTTGAGGGTGGGGTAGTCAGTTAGGATATTCCCTCCTTATTGGCTATGGCTGTCACCATCTTTGCGACATGTGAGGGGCAATTAGTATATTTCCTCTTTATTAGATAAGATTACAGGTGAAGGAACTAAAGTTCAAAGAAGTAAAGATCACACAACTAAGATGTAACAAAATTTAAATAGAAATTTAGATGCTCCCTATTCTCGGGAAATCTCAGTCTAATAAGGGATATGAATGCACAATAAATTAAAGTATTAGGCATAATATAAGTGTCATATAAGAAGTTAAAAAAGTGCTATCAAGATTCAGAGGAAGGAAAACACATCTAGTTAGAAAACTTGGTAAGATTTTATTTTACACCCACTATATTATGATTACTGTGCTAGACATTGAGAGTAAAAAACAAATAATAAACATTCCTACCCTCAAGGAGTCTATAGTCTAGCACAGTGGATGGCAAACCGCGGCTCTCAAGTCACATGCGGCTCTTTGGTCCCTTGAATGTGGCTCTTCCACAAAATACCATGGCCTGGATGAGTCCGTTTTGAAGAAGTCGGATTAGAAGAAGTTTTAAGTTTAAAAAATTTGAATCTCAAAAGAAATTTCAATCATTGTACTGTTGATATTTGGCTTTGTTAACTAATGAGTTTGCCGACCACTGGTCTAGTCTATTTGAGACACATAAGGGAGACATGGAGCAATACAGGGGTATTTTAGAAAGCACCAAGAGCTGTCACATAAGTCTTTGTTGCCAATCTGTTCCTTGTTTGGAATCCATTTCACTTTGGAAGCCTAGACTTGAGTCTGGCTAAGAGCCTTGAGACTAGTTTTCTATAAATAGACACGGCTGGAATTAAGAAAGCTTCCTCTGTAGGAATATCAGATTTCACTCTCAGAACTCCTGTCTTGCTTTCCTAGCTTGAATACTGTCTTAAGAGAGTGCTCCAAACACGAAAATTAAATGAGATTGATTTTATTTTATTCAGAGGAAAAGGGTCAGAGTGAGTTAATTTAGAACATGGGCTTTGGAGTAGATGACCTGTATTTGAGTCCCAGGTCCTCCCTTGTGTGACCTTGGGAAAGTCATGTTGCTGCAGTCACCTCATTTGTAAATGGAATTAAAAATACTTTACAAGGCTTTGTAAGCAGTAAATGAGATATACATCTAAAGTAATTTGATACAATGCACCTTGTGTATAATGAACCATTTAAAAATGGCTAGGGCGATTTCGTAGTAACACCTGATAGAGGCTGCTCCACACACCTCTCTCAGGTGTTATTACTAGTATGTGGCCTTGCTGGGTATATTCTCTCAGTGAATATGTGTATATCCCCCAAAATTACTACTTAGAAACCTCCAGGATTATCTTAGATCACTTTTATTTAAGCATGCATAAGGATGTTTACCTCACACTAGGACAAGGATTGGAAGACTGCAAAGTCATCGATGACCAAGATACTCTGTGCATTGGAGCACTTGACCTGGATGCAACTTGTGTCTCTCTTTTTTTCCCATGCGCCCAGCCTTAACTTTGTTTATTTTTTGGCCTCCTATTTATTCAGTTCTGTCTCTGCCGTCTTTGCCCTGAGCAGTGACTGGCACACCTGTTCCCCTCTTGCCAGTCTCCCTCCAACGATTAAAACAATTTTTGGAAATAGAGCAGGAGCCTTCCTTAGTTGATAAGAAAATTGATAGCATCCCTTGGCCTACTCATTCCCTCTGTTCCTCACAAACAAAGAAAAACAAACTAAAAACAAGGAAGACACTAGATACAGGAAGTAAAGGGAATTTCCCAGGATGTTAGTGAAAGGCAATCACAGTGATAGCTGGGCACATCAACTGAGATAATGAGTACAGACTTGGCTCCAAGAAAGACTTTTTCTCAGAAAATGAAATTGGTAGCTCCTGTTCTTTTTCTGATTTTTTTTTTTTGGGGGGGGGGCATGAATTGTCTTTATAATCAGACAAAAAGCTATTTCATGTTACAGAAAAGAAAAACAATTAGAATGTGAGAGGAAAACTATGTACAAAGATGTTCATTACAGCATTTTTATAATCCTAAGAAATCAGAAACAACTGTCTAATCAGGAAATGTTTAATAAATTACAGTTCATATACCTAGTGAAATATTTTACAGGTGTCGTTTTTAAAAAGAGGATCGAAATGAGTTTATCCTCATATATAGTTTTCACCTTTAATTATGTTATACCGTCAGCTTAAATGTCATTTTCCTTCTTTCTACTTTCTTTTCATTGGTATTTCCCTGAATCATTACATTCCACAAGAAGGCCCCGGGACAACCATCATCATCACTTACCTACCCAACCCCACTCCACTCTCACCTCCATCCCAACTGTGTGTTACCCCTAATCTGTGTTTTCAAAATACTTTGAGCAGATACTCTATATTTGCACTTACCATCTAGTATTATAATCTAACTAGTAGCCCATTGAACAATATTGTGCTTATTAGACCACTTGATGCTTCTGCGGGAGATAGGAGGGACCCATGTTCATTCCGTGAGAGGCGGGAGGGACTCATGCTGCTTTTGCCGGAGGCGCTCCCCGCTACCCCTGTCCTTGTCCATGTCGGCTCCGGTTCTGGGGAGCTGGCCTGAGCCGGGCACGGCAACAAAGCAAGCATTTCACCAGGCTGCCCACACTGCCCGCTCTCAGTGGCCACCACCCTGGGACTGGGGGATTCTGGTGGGGCTGAGAGGACTGGGTGCTGCCATCTTGTGACTATGGGTGCCACTATCTTTGTGATGGAGTGATGGTTAATTTGCATATTACCCTTTTATTAGATAGGCTTATTAAGTAGGCTTATCTTTCCCACTAAACTTTCACCTTGATATCTAGGATTGGTCTTATTCACTTTTATGACTGCAGTGCAAAGTACAGGGCATAATCAATATAATCAATATTAGATATTGGATAAAGAAAAGAATAATGTGAAAAATATTTGTGTTATCATGTTAAGTATATTAGGGAAAGTAGCATCTACACTTCAGGTTGTTATGAGAATTAGATGGGAAAATTTATGTAAAACATCTAGTATAATGCCAAGCATAGGTGCTCAGTGAATAAGAATGAAGATGGTGGCAATTGTGCTGGTAACAATGATAAGATCTGTGATTTGTTTGTTTGTTTGTTTGTTTTTTCACAGAGAGCACCGAAACAGACCTTGGAATTTGTGGATCGATTTTGGTGTATGTCTCATTCTTCTTAACAATTATAACTTTCCCATTATCAATATGGATGTGCATGAAGGTAAAGAATATTTCATCTACATCTGTAAAGGTGTCAACTTCTAATTACATATGCCCACTTTGTGTGTACATGTGTGTGTAAAAGAAATAGAGACCATACTGGCTTGTAATTTTTTTTCCTTCATCTCTCTTTTGGAAAATTCACTCTGGTTATCTGTTATAATAGAATCTTAACGGTTCTTTTCAGTCCTAGTTTAGTCAGTCTCTCCCGAGAGTTTAAAATCACCATTGGAAGTTGGAGTCAGGGATATGGGGTGGTCCTATGAGAATTTCTCCAGTCAGGATGCTGAGGTTTGACTGCCAGCTCCATTGTTTTTGGTGTGATCTTTACCATGTTTCCTCATCTGTAAAATGGGGAGAAATAATAACACCCACTCCATAGAGCCATTGTGAAGATCAAGTGAATTAATGTAATTAAATGTGGCTGGCACATGATAAGTGCTTCCCAAATGTTGCTTATTTTTTTCTATAAAGTTATTAATACTTTGATAAATAACTATAATTTACATATTCCTAAAATGATAAAAATGCTCTAAGAATTTTTAGGTAAGTTTATTATAATTTAAGAAATCAGGAGACAAAGTATGAGAAGTTCAGCTTTTTTTTATATTAACAATGCAGGAGGTAATATTCAATAATGTTAACAGCTGAGGAGTGAGGTTATAGATAGATTTGCTTCTCTATACTATTCTATACTTTCCAGATTTTATACAATGAATATCTTTTGCTTTTATAATTCGTAAATAATAAATAAATAAGTAAATGTCATACTTAGTGGAGCTACTAAACATTGGACATATTTGTAGATATAATCTGGATTATAGAGAAGAAAACAAAATAGAGGCATGTGACCTGTTTAAAGCAGAAATATATATATTTTAAAAGCTATGCATATAAATATTTGTACTCTTCATATTAAATTATTATTTATTTGTGTTTTTAATCTAGATCGTAAAAGAATATGAAAGAGCCATCATCTTTAGATTGGGTCGCATTTTACAAGGAGGAGCCAAAGGACCTGGTCAGTACTCAGATTCTAGATTTGAAGACTGACATTCTTCCTTTTATTGATGTGATTTTCCTTATAGTTTCTCTTCTCTGTTGACTTAGAAAAGAGTTCTTCATATAACAAAAGCTGTATAACAAATAGCAGGGGTGCTAGATAGTCTTGTTGTAACCACCCTTTCCTTCCTCTCCATTCCCCTTCCTATTTGAGATAAGTGTTGGAGCATGAAAATCCCTACTAAAATAAAGGCTTTGAGTCATTGTTTTTGGCAAACTTCGATTAAGTTCCTACCATGTTTCAAGCTCTGGGAATTCATGGGAGACTATACCACAGTTCCTGCCCTCAAGGATCTTACTGTCTAGTGGTGGAATACCAAGGGGACAGATAGTTACAGTCCCCTGCGATAAGTATTATGATCCAGGTAGTTGTGGAAACCCAAAGAGGAGTGAAAGGCCAGAATTAGTAGGATGAGAGAAGGCTTTCTGGAGGTGACAACTTGGCTGAGTCTTGAGGTATTAGGGAAAGTGTTCCTTCCAGAAAAGGTATTAGGGGAGGTGTTCCTCCCTGAAACAGCAACATGCTCAAAGCCATATGGAGGAGAGTATTTCAGGTTCCAGGCACTGCAGGTCGCCCAGCCAGAGAGGAGAGCATGAGGAGAGGGGAATGAATGAGAGGTAAGGGGAGCAGGTAATGCAGAACCTTGTGTGACTCATTAAGGAGTTTGTATTTAAGGAAAGATTGCTCTGCTTGCAGCTTAGAAAATGGATGGGAGGAGAAGCACTGGAAGATGACTAGGAATCGATTGCATTGGTCTAGTGAAAACAGTGACAGTCACAGTGGAGTAAGGAAATGAAATCCATTGCCTTGGTGGGGACAGTTAGGGTTGGGAACTCAGCAAGAGAAGTAAAGAATAACACTCCTAGCTCCTGGCTCATTCACTGAGATGAACTGCTGATTCACAGTCCATTAGGTTGCTGCTATTAGAATTGAAGCATGAGCCAAAGCTGGTTTGGCTCAGTGGTAGAGCGTCGGTCTGTGGACTGAAAGGTCCCAGGTTCGATTCCGGTCAAGGGCATGTACCTTGGTTGCGGGCACATCCCTGGTAGGGGGTGTCCAAGAGGCAGCTGGTCGATGTTTCTCTCTCATCGACGTTTCTAGCTCTCTATCTCTCTCCCTTTCTCTCTGTTAAAAATCAATAAAATATATTAAAAAAAAAAAGAATTGAAGCATGAAGTAAATGGTTTAGATGCTGGTATTTCTGTAATATTCTATGATCTTTGTTGCAGGTTTGTTTTTTGTCCTGCCGTGTACTGACAGCTTTGTCAAAGTGGACATGAGAATTATTTCATTTGATATTCCTCCTCAAGAGGTAAGGTGGACTTTTGCTATGAGTAACTGAAATACCACGTGTGAAAGCGTTGACAATGAGAGGCAGCAGGTGTAGTGGTGTAGTGGTTAGAGCATAGGTTTAGAGCCTGTCTGCCTTCGACCTTTTCTAGTTGTGTGACCTTGGGAAGGTTTTTAATTTCCCTGTGCCTCAGTTTCCTAATCTATAAAATAGAGCTTATAATAAAAGGACCTATTTTATAGGATTTTTCTGACAACTGAAGGAGTTATGTGTAAAGCGCTTCGAATAGTGGCTGACAGTTAAGTGCTATATAAGTGCTTATTATTTATAAAATGCAGTGTAATGTGAATGTAAGTATAATGGTAACGTCATCATTGTTATTTTTACTAACATATTTCTTCTCTCTGTGTTTTCTGGCAGAAAATCCTGTTTAGTATAATATTCTTCTTCTTCAAGTTCTTGATTTTATTCTAGATAACTTGGTTAAAAGCCAAAGAATTAGAAACTGCTCATTTGGCAACTTCAATAAAGCATATAATGTTTTAGATCAGTGATTATTTCATGCTTTTTCAAACTACTTCACCAATATTATCACAGCTGAAACAGCAGAATCCCTAGAAAGTATCTAGTTGCTGTGAGACAAAGGAATTCCTCCAGACTACAGTGGCAGAAGCAGGACGGAAATCCAGCTTTTTGTATTCCCTGTCTGGTGCTTTGTGTATAACTCTGTGCTATTGATAAATGCATTCTGCATTAGCCCCCTCGTGGCCCTTAAGGGAGAGGTGGCCGTGCTGATACTTATGTCTAAGGAGGATAATAACTATTGCAGACAGAAAGGCTAACGTCACAATGAAGTGAGGCACAGAAAAATACTGTCTGTATTTCCTGGCCAAAAGCAAGGTATCCAGCGGGGTGGTGTAGCCTGGCCATGCTGCCTTGTCTTGTCACGAAGTCTAGAAACCAGCTTCAGAACTTCCTTGCTCCTACAGAGCCAAGTAGTCAGTGAGGTCAGACCTTATAATCCACCCAGAGTTGTGACATCAGAAATCATTCCCCCCCCCCAAGAACAAGACTGAGAGCATTGCTGTGTTCTCTGCATGTTTTCCCATCTTTCGGGAAAGACTGACTCTCAGAAGGAAACCCCTTTCAGGGTAGCTGTTTCCTCTATAAACATTGTAGGCATCTGGCAGGCTCGCTCTCTGCTTTCCTACCAGCTGCTGTACACAGAGCGGATGGGAACTTGGCAGGCAGGCCTTTATCCGATCCCCTGGGAACTTGCTGTGAGGGAGGAAAACACACTGCGATGGTAAACAGTATGCAGAGAGGCGGCAGTGTTAGAAACCTCCGGTTGTGGCAAAGTCACTGTTAAGAATTTGTTCATAAATGATACACATTTCCCCATCGCATCATGGGAAATAATTAACTTTCACAGAAGATGGTGATGTGCATACCATGTGTAAATACATTTATTTATAAATCTCCCGCTTCTCTTTCAAGTTTGAAGTATATTTAGATTTCTAAAAAAAGGGTTACTACTTTGAACTGGCAGGATTAAACAGCCATGTAATATAATTGTCATTACTATTTTCTATTTCCATAGCTCTTAACACTTTCAAGAGGGCTTCCTTCACAAACATGTTTTTGTTTGATCTTCAAAGAAATTTATGTAGAATTTTGGGCAGTATTATTACCCCCATCTCACAAATGAGGAATCTGTAAGTCAAACAGGTTTTTTTTTTTTTTTGGTTTGTTTTTTCTTAATGCATTTTTACTGATTTCAGAGAGGAAGGGAGAGGGAAAGAAAGATAGAAACATTAATGATGAGAAAGAATCATTGATAGGCTGTCTCCTGCACGCCTCCCCTTCCATCCCCCAGGAGATCAAGCCCGCGTGTTCCCTGACCGGGAATTGAACCGTGACCTCCTGGTTCATAGGTCAAAGCTCAACCACTGAGCCAAGTCGGCTGGGGGCTGTAAGTCAAACCATTTAAAAGCTAGAGATCTCCAAGAGGTACAGGCAGAGTTGAAACTCCTGTCTCCTAACTCTCACTCCCGTACTCCTCATCAATCACTGAATTCATAGGACCACGTTTCAATTTAATTCATCTCTTGTTTATTGACGACTTGCTATGTATCAAGTGTTCTGCCGGTGATAGAAATGCAGAGACAAACTGCCCTCAAGAAATTCATAGTCTAATAGAGAAATGGTTTCACTGCAGTGAGATGCAAAAGGAAGGGCATACTCTTCCAAGTGGGTCAGGGAAGTTGCACATAGAAAAGGACACTGGAGCCGTGTCTTGAATGATGAGTAAGAAGGTGCCAGTCTGATGTTATGAGGGAGAGAGGACAGGACATCCAGGCAGAGGGGATATGGAACATGCTGCACCTTGTCTAGTATGGTGTGGGCAGGAAGAAGTGGGATAGAGTGAGGCCAGAGAGCCAAATGCCAAAGGGCCAGGCATCAACAGACTTTGGACTTTGCCCTGTAGGGGGTAGGGAACATTGGCACATTATGTCCAATGAAGCATTTTTATGTAGCATGCTGCAGAGATATTTTCACCCTGGCTCGCCCTGTAAAAACATTCCCCATTCACATTTTGTTCTAGTAATACTGAGCTACTTGTAGTTCTAGTAATACTTACAAACCTAGGCTCTCCCATATACATTATCTTCTCTGCCTTGAATACTCTTTCACTCTACCCTCCACCCTCTGAAAATTTTTATTCCTTCCTTGAAGACTCAGTTCAAGTACCAGTCCTGCCTCCTGAAACTGCCCATTTTTATTCCTTAAAGTCTCCCTGGGTTCCTCAGCCTCTTTGAAAGTAGGAACCAAGGTTTTTCCTACCTTGGTTCATAGATCATTACCTGCTACTAAGTGGTGTCTCATTGTTGAATGATTGAGTCAAGTAATGGAATTACTGAATAACTGCATGTGTTTTATAACAATTTAAAGAATCTCTAATGCTTTAGGTCATCTGATCTAGCAAAATAACATAGACTGGGTGGCTTATAAACTTATTTCTCATGATTCTGGAGGCTGGGAAGTCCAAGAACAAGGCATCAGCATATTCAGTGTCCGATGAAGGCCCGTTTCTTGGATTACAGATGACTGTCTTTTTCTGTGACCTCATATGGCAAAAGGGGTGAGGGAGCTCTCAAAGGTTTCTTTTATAAGGGTAATAATCCCACTCATTAGGGTTCTACCCTCCTGAGCTAATCACCCCATAACCAAATACCAACACATTGGGGATTAGGTAGCAACAAATGAATTTTGAGGGAACAAAAATATTCAGTTGATAATAGTTTCTAAATAAATCAGCTAGCATTATAAGAGGTTGTATAGAATAGCATTCCTGCAGTTACATTAAAGGAAGAGCTGGCTGACAGATATAATATTACTTTCTTTACCTTGTAGATCCTCACTAAGGATTCCGTGACAGTTAGTGTGGATGGTGTGGTCTATTACCGTGTTCAGAATGCAATCCTGGCTGTGGCAAATATCACCAATGCTGACTCAGCAACTCGTCTGTTGGCACAGACTACCCTGAGGAACGTCCTGGGCACCAAAAACCTTTCTCAGATCCTCTCTGACAGAGAAGAAATTGCACACAACATGCAGGTGAGGAGTGCGCCAATGCTGTACCTCACGAGAAATAGAACATTAAAGCAAAAGCTCAATGGTTGAGAACTCACCAATTCAAGTTTTTTCCTTGTAGAAAGGTTTTCCCAAAATTGATGGAAGAGGATATTTCTCACACAAATAGTTCATGGATGATAACACCCAGATGCATGCATTTTTTCCCCTCCTTGTGTATGTCCCCCCAGATTTAGTATTTTTTTAGCATAATAGTTCAGAGGCCATTTTGCATAGCATGAGTACAGTTAAAGCTATGTTCTCTGTGTGAGTCCCATGACTTCCCTGGCATGTCTTATGCTTTCCAATGTTGCATGAGTAATAGATGATGAATTAAACCTGACCTTTTCAAAAGCACTGTAAATCTGAACTCTTATTATTTGTTTAGATTTCATTGTGTGTAAAATCTATGATCTGATTTGATACCCACAACAACTATAGAAAATAGATAGTATCATTTCCTTCCTACCATTGTAAAGGGAGAAAGTCAAAGCACAAAATAACATGGCTTGCATAGAGTCACATTAGCTTGGGAGTAATACTGTGCTATTAGAGTTTTAGTAATATTTACACTAGAAGTGATACTAGTTTTAAGAAGTAAAGTTTTGCCCTAACTGGTTTGGCTCAATGGATAGAGCATCAGCCTGCGGACTCAAGGGTCATAGGTTTGATTCCAGTCAAGGGCATGTACCTTGGTTGTGGGCACATACCTAGTAGGGAGTGTGCAGGAGGCAGCTGATCGATGTTTCTCTTTCATCGATATTTCTAACTCTCTATCCCTCTCCCTTCCTCTCTGTAAAAAATCAATAAAATATATATATTTTAAAAAGTACAGTTTTATTGGAATACAGCCACACCCATTGGTTTATATATTATCCATGGCTGCTTTTGACCGACAATGGTAGGTTCAATAGTTGTGGCAGGCTGAGAATCAGTAATTACTATCTAATCTTTTTAGAGAAAGTTTGCCTGCATTAGCTTATCAGTAACAGAATCAGGATCAGTTCCTCTGTGAGCCAGCGCCTTATCTGTTCCCAGTCCCAATGCTTACAACAACCTTTGGCCTCTGGACTGGGGCTGAATGTTTTAGCTTGCCTTCTCTCTTCCCATCAGAATACCCTGGATGAAGCCACTGATGACTGGGGAATCAAGGTGGAACGAGTGGAAATTAAGGATGTGAAACTACCTGTACAGCTCCAGAGGGCTATGGCTGCAGAAGCGGAAGCATCCCGGGAGGCCCGAGCCAAGGTGATTTATTTATTATTTATTTATTTTCATTAGTTTGTTTTTTCTATTGAATTTTTTTAATTACAGAAAGTAAAACAGGTTTGTTATAAAAATTAGAAATAATCCTGGATATTTCGTAAAGATGAAAGCCCTCCCTGTCACTTTAAATTGTATCTCTGCAGATGTGATCACACTTAACAATTTAGTGTATTCACTTCCAGGGTATCCCTTGGGTTTTATTTGACTAGGTTGTTACTGGCTTGTTTGTTTTACAGAAGTAGATCACACTATGCGTATTGTTCTGCACCTTGCTCTTTTCTTTAACGCCACGTGGGCATCAGTACAAAGTTGCCAAATTATTTTATTGGCCATGTCCTGTCTCCCAAATGCCTATAAAGGACAGATTACAGTTCTGACTTCAGAGCAAATGGGCAACCTCATCAGTTTGCTTACTGTTCGTTTCTTTTATCTTCTTTCATTTTCTCTTTTCTCTGTATCTTCTTTCCTCTTCCCATTTCCACTTCCTATCTCATTTATTTTTCACTTTCCTTTCTTTGGTGTCTGCTCTTTCCCCTCTCTCTTTTCATCATCACCCCTGCCTATCTCTGAACCCTGCATGAATGCATGACCCTCTGAGAGGTGCTGAAGGCAATATTTGCTAACTTAAGCTAAAGAAAAGGATCCACTGAGATGCTAATGCATAAGGACCCAGGGATAGCTCACCAAACCCAAGGGTAGGAAATAGAGTTGAGCCTCATCAACATTGGAGCCAGGGACCCCAAAGGAGTTAAGACTGAAATAAGTGAGTCATTTCATTTCCTGGGCCATCTCACTGCAGATGGTTTGATGGGGAGACTGTCTGGCTCCAGTTGAACAGTGACAGAGACAGACCAGCCCTGATTCCAGATTCAAAGCAGAGAGATTATTTGTCTTTGGTCCAACTTTGGTCAAAGGGTGAAGTCAGGTACTAATCAGGTCACAGAGCCTGGAGGAATAGGGACAGTTTTGGTAGGAGGTGTTACTGTGGACTTGACAGAGCTCCCAAGACACGGGAGCAAACCTATTTGTCATTGTTGTTGGAAAAATAGCAGTAGCTGGTGATAACTGGCTAACCACAGAATCCCGCCCTTCTCTTAGAATGCTCTTTAAGCCACAAGTGGGTCACTATCATTTCTTAGCCAGCCCCAAATAGAACAGTAGCTCATTTGACACAATACATCCAGAATTTTCTACGAACCAAACACTTTGTTTTTCCAATGTGGTCAATGATGCTTGTGATGCTAACCTGATGACACTACAGAACCCCCAAGTGCTTCCTCTCAAAATCATCACTAAGACTAAATTATATTTGTGATAATGTTAAATATGCTAGAATCTACTTATTTTGAAAATTAGGAATCACTTATACCTGGAATATGTCATTAACCAAAAGCCTCATTTTCAACGCATATTGAACAACAATATTTGTCATGCACAGACTACATAGAATATCAGCCCAAAGGGCCCTTCGGGATGATCTTCTGAAGGTGACAAATACCTGGCCCAGAAGCTGCTGCTCTGCCATCCTATTCCCATGCCAGTAATTAACCACAACACTGTTTTCCACTGAGCGTAGGCCTGACCTTCCACGGCACTCTAGGCAACAATCCTCAACTGCTTGGAATTGGCTCTAAGGATTTTCAGAACTTTGTAATTGAAGTTCTGCTGGGAATATTGGAAACTACCCTAATGTCCATTGGTAGTTGCATGACAAAGTGAATTAGCATACAAGTCTCCTGAAAATAATGAGAAAGGAACCAGTCACAAAAGACAGACTCTCCCACCAGTTTTACAGTATGTTGGCTGAATCTCTTTAAAGTTTTTAGATAAACTCTTAATGACTTGAAATGTAATCTCTTTTATGCTGCATTCTTCCTTATTTCCTTTTTGACGAACCCTCAGAAAAATGTTTGACATGCTTTCAAGCTCCTATTTCCTGGCCTTAATTGAGAGGGTGGAGTGCCAAAGTACAGATCACCTTTCTCTGCCCTTCCCCAAGCCCAGCCCGCCTGGACTGCCGAAGGAGGTGGCTGTACCAATCCCACACACTTGGAAATGCCAAATTTCAAAACGATGGTCTATAAATATAAAGTGTTTATTGACATGGATTATTGCACATTTGGCAAAAGCCCCGTGTGTTTCTTGCTTCGTTTTCTAAGATCCTATCCACAGGGTATACTTGGCCTCTGTTTAGACAAAGCCAGTGGTATTGGATTCACATCTCTGGCAGTTCTCTCAGAGCAGCTTTTCTATTAACAAAATGTGTGTCCATCCTGGTGGAACTGGCTTCCCTGCCAAGAGATTGTGTATTGATTGCTAGTGGGAGATGAGGTATCTTTGCAGTTGGTCTATGTCCAGACAAAAAAAACAACGAAGTACCTAATTGGATATCTGAGATGACATGGAAAAAAAATCAGAGCCCGCTGACCTCGTGGCAGGTGTATTGTGCACTCCCCGTGCTTGCCCTGGAGCACAGTTAACAGGCTTCTCTCTGAGCACATCTGGCGCGTGCCCCATCTCACAGATTTATGTAGGGCATAATGGTTTGTCTTGATAGATTAAGCTCTTTATCCCCTAAACAGTCCTTTCTCTCAGTAAGTACCATATCCTGTATCCCCTCTCTCACTGAAAGGCACTATCCAGGCGGCCGAAGCCTACAAACCTGGGTCTCAACCTCTGTGCCCTCTTTCTCCCCTTACCCAGTCAGCCTCCAGAATCCTGCCTCCCTCCTGAGTAGCCCCCATCCAGCTCCTCCTCTGTCCCCAACACCAGTGAATTGCACCAACCACCCTGAAGCACTTCCACTAACAGCTTTCAGTCTCTTCCCATTGATCCTCACACATCTGTCGGTGTGTTCTCAAACCTGCATCTGATGAGGTTATCTACCGAAAACCTTGCAGTAGTTCCCCACTGCCTGGAGAATGAAGATGAAGGCCCTGGCCTCCACTGGCCTCCAGACCCTGCCCGTTCACACCCCACCTTTCCCCTCTTCCTCATGCACTATTCAGCACTCAGAGTTTTTTTGGGAATACACCAGCTTTTGCACACCTCATCTTAATCCAAACAACAATGCTTTCATTCTGTAATGTTGAACTTCTACCACTTCACCACCTCACCCTCTGCATAAAGTGCTTTCCTGGGGGTGCAGCACTGTGCCTCATACCGATCTCTGTCAGCATTTGCTGCACTGCAGTGAAGTGAACTGTTTCCATGGCCATCTCCTCTACTTGTCCAGGAGCTGAGGGAGGCAAGGAGGTTCATGCTTTAGCCCTAGCCCCTACATGGGGCTTGACACCTAGGAGGCCCCCAAAATTTACCAGAGAAGCGAATGAAATTTCACTGCTCATAAGACTATGGCTTTCAGTTCTGCTATTCACAGGAGCATTACAAACCATTAATATTTTTAGAACAACCTAGTGAAACTGTACTTTTAATATTGATGATTATGATATATGTTTACCTCCTCTCCTAGGATTCTGAATTAAAGCTAACTGCCAAGAGATTGTATATTGATTGCTTTTGAGAGAGAGAGAGGAAGGGAAAAGAGAAACATTGATGTGAGAGCACAACAGTACTCAACTGCCTCCTGCATGCCCCCTACCAGGGATCAAGCCTGCAACCTGAGCATGTACCCTTGACTGGGAATCGAACCAGAAACCTTTTGGTGCACAGGATGACAACCAACTTAGCCCCACCAGCCAGGGCTGATTTGGCTTTTGAATCTTTTATGAATTGAAGCAATTGGTAGATCCAAAAACCAAGTCCTAACTTGTCACTTGCCATTCCTATAGAATAGCTTCTTTTCATATATCAACACTTAAAATACCTTCTCTGTCTTCCTCCTATAAAGTAGGTGCTATTTGATCTTAAGAATAAGAAACTGTGGCTAAGAATGTTAAATAACCTCTCTGAGGACATTCAGCTTGGTAAGGGGTAGGTCTGGGATTTGAGTTCAAGTTCATCTAAGTCCAAAGGCCCTATTCTCCCCAAAAGCCAAATCAGCCTTGGCTGGTGGGGCTCAGTTGGGGCTCAGTTGGTTGTAAGTAAGGTCTTCTTTCCTTTCTTTGAAATCACTCTGACTTGCAAATATATTTGTATTTAGTCATAAGAGTCATTCATTTTCTCAACCCGTACACAATATTTTGAATTGTCTTTGGTACCTTGGAAAATGGGAGAAAGGCAACAGTAAAAAAGGATGTCTTGACCTCAGGCACATACTCAGTTATAGAAAAAAAGAATATGGAAATATGGAAACTAGTAACTGGAAGTGGATTTCCTTAAAACTATTCTGGCGTACTCCCTGGAAAGTTTTACGATTGCTGCTTTGCACCTCCCGTTTTTTCCAATTTGACCCCTCCTTCTGCTGTTCCACAGGTTATTGCAGCCGAGGGAGAAATGAACGCATCCAGAGCTCTGAAAGAAGCCTCCATAGTCATCAGTGAATCTCCTGCAGCCCTTCAGCTCCGGTACCTTCAGACACTAACCACCATTGCTTCTGAGAAAAACTCCACGATCGTCTTCCCTCTGCCCATGGATTTGCTGCAAGGCATGATGAGGGGAACGTAGTGAGGCACAGAGGCCAACACAGAGATGAGCTCTTCCCTTCTGAGGATGACATGGGGGACCAAATTAGCCTTTAACCCATAAGAGGAGGGGAGGGTGGGAACTTGACTATTCTCTCTTCCTTTCCTTTTCCATATATTGGAGTTCTTAGAATGTACAGGGATCCTAGCAACAGGTAAAGATTGTTAGCTTATAAATACTGTGAGTGAGAGAGATTTATATAAGATAATCTCTTACTCTTTAAATATTTAACTCCATACTTTTAGATCATTATGTACTAGGTTAACGCCCTCTTTTTTTGACTTTCATGGAATTATTCTACACCCTCTATCAGGAGACCGGCCAAAGGAAACCGCCACCTGATATTCTTGGCTGGACAAATGATTTAAAAAGATAGTGACCTTAAACTACAACCAGCTTCTCTGGGCCACATGTGCCTTACTTCCGGGAAATCTTACTTAAGGCAATTTTGTAACATCCATTTACTTTCTAAACCTAAACCATGTTTCAGAATAATCCTCACTTGAGACTAGTCATTCTCTTGCCAGTACCTGTCAGCTCTGGAGGAAGGTTAAGATCAATGAAAATGATTAATCTTTGAAAGACTTTTAAATCCACTATAATAGAGGTCCTTGGAAATAATGTGACCCTTCAAATTAGCTAAATACTTGTCACATAAGTGCTTTTTTCTCACTTTTGCCTATTTTCATATATTAGATCCTAAATAGTTTTGATTTTTTAAATAAAAATTTAAGTTCTACAAACAGTTATCTTTATAGCCAATTGAATACCTTAAGAACTAATACTTTTTTTAAAAAAATCTTCAGAAAATCATTGCATTTTACTCACTGCATGCTATTAACTGTTGCATTCTGGGAAATATCTGTTACCAATCTCATTCATTAAATGTATAAAGAATTCACAATATATTGGGCGCATCATATCCAATGAGCTTGGGAAAACACTGTCAAACTGAGGATATCTATATAGAAGTCTATCTTTTTCATTTGCCTACTTGTTCTTTTTCTATTATGTATATTGATGCTGAAAAAGGAAGTGGTTAGCCTTTTGAACCGCAGTTGCTTCATCTGTGATATTAGGCATACTGGCTACTTTAAAAAGAGACAAATAAATGATGTGAAATCAATCATTTGGGTGTTCCCTGCAACATTCAACCTTTTACTTCACAAGCACCGGTGACTAAGCAACCTTGCATTCTTCTTACTGGTCTAGAATTCTGGCTGGTGACATTTGTGTAATCTCCTCTTTGAGGCTAGTTCACCTAGAGAAGTCTAAGACTAGCTGCTTCCTTACCCAGAGCTGCTCTTCATATCTGTCCTTATCCGGATCACTGTCAATCCGAACCCAGTTTTGTGAGGGTCCCCTTCCCTACACTCCATTTCAAAGTTTATTTTAGAAAACCTCGAACCACCGTGTATCCTAATTCCCAGCTTAGTTTATGAGATATATATATGATTGAAATCAAGTGGCATTTGTAATTTGAAAACAATGATTTTATTTCCTTTGTGTGTTGGCTCACCCTTGACCACCGAGGTCCAGAAAACAACTGCATATCTTGGCTGAAAATCTCTTCCCAGACTTGAGTAACAATGCTTTCTGTTCCTTGAGTTTTCCTGTCTCCAGATACCAAGCAGTCTCTGCTTTTCTGCCTTGTGGCTTCAAAGCCCAGAGTCTGGAATGAGATCGCCTGGGAGGGAGGAGGTCTAGGATGAGAGTGTGAGTGCAAGAGTGTGTTCCAAGCTGTCTCCCCTCCCAGTGCTGTACATAATAAAGAGCGAGCTTGTCCCAACTGTCTTTGGGTGCGAGCTGTTTCTTCCTGCATTTAGTGTGTGTGGTTTTCATTTTTCAGAAGTGGCACAGCAGATCCTCCCGTCTGGGGCTGCCTGTCTTGGCTTTATTACATGCTCTTCCGGGGCCGGAAGAAGAGGAGAGGCTACTGTAGTTCATCGGCCATCTCCCCCTTGGTTGCACCTGCCCACACATTCTCCCTGGGAATTTGAGATCCAGGCATCCCCTGAATCCTTGGCTGCTTTCCTTTCCCTTTGCCTTAATCCAAACAGGATAGGACTCACTTCTTGCCATCACCTAGCTAATCACACAGGAATACTGTCTACTTTAAAAAGAGACAAATAAATTATGTGAAATCAATCATTTGGGTGTTACCTGCAACATTCAACCTTCGAAGAACTGTCTTGACTTACTGGCTTCCATTTGTGGAGCACCAGCTACCCAGCTCTGTGCTCAAATACTTGTACATACGTTCTATCATTTTATCCTCAAAACAGCTTGGTGAAGATACTTTACTATCCCCATTTTACAGATGAGGATACTGAGGCTCAAAGGTTAAAACTTAGCCAGTCACATGGTAAGGAGCAGAGGTGGGATCAAGCATGGAACTATCTAGTGCCAAAGACTCAGGATATCTGAATGTATCTCCATGGATCAGTGCCTGCCTCCACCACCCCCATATACACCAGACCAGCAGCAGTCATTTTATGTACAGAAAACATCTTCACAAGATTGACAGTTCATTTGATTAGTGAAACTGTACTTCAACCCAAACAGGCCTTAAATTTGAACTTTCATTTTGGGCCATCAGAGGTAGGCCAAAGTTCAGTCCAAGTGAGAGTAGTAGGTTATAACCATGACATGTTACAACACTAGCCTGAGCTGGAGGATACCCAGGTTCCATGGACCTTTAAGCTTATGTGGCCCATTAAACTACATTATTTCTGTGATCTTCACAACACTGGGTCATCCCAAGGTTGCTCAGCTAGTAAATAGTGAACCAGTGGTTTTCAAACTTTTTGGCAGAAACTCTATCCTCTCTTTTTTTCCCAAAGAAAACTGTACACTGGTAAAAGAGTTGAAGTGTCTTATCAGGATAAATCTTAAATTCACATTTATAACATTTACTTAATGTCAATCAATGAGGCTGTTTTAAAAACAAAAATACAACAAGGGGGTAAGGGTATGAATGGGGGATTTGGGGGGTAAAGAGGAGATAAGGACACATGTAATACCTTAATTAATAAATTTTAAAAAATAATAAAGTTACAAATGAAAATAAAAAAAAATAATAATAATTGAAGTTATAAAAGGAAATTACAGCCTTAAATCAGGCTCTACATTTCCTTAATTCCTCCATTTTGTTTCAAGAGCACTGTGCTATTTATTATCACTTTAAAAATGGAATCTGAATCAAATAATCATAAAACCACTGAAGCATCTCAGAGAATTCTACAGAGCCTGGTTTAAAACCATGGTTCTTCACTACTTTCCCACTACATCAGGGAACTTGTAAGGTGACCTAATTTGCCTCACCTGTTAAAATAAGAAATTGGACTCTTACCTGTTCGGGTCCTCAGATCTTTTGAGAATGTGTTGGAAGCTATAGAGCACAAATTTGCATACAACTTCAAAATTTCATACAAATGTGTGCTGACCCCATCACTCTGCCAGTAAGAAGATTTAAGAACCCCTGAACTGGATAATCTCGAATATCTTTTTAAATTGCAGCAGCTCTGGGCACAGATCAGGTCGATCATTTCCCTCTTGCTGTCCCCTAATGGGAGATGTTAAAGAACCAGCTCTGGGAATCCCGGCTCCCGAATCAGGTTCATTGTGTTTACGGTACCTCTAAAAAGGATTCACATGTGCTAATAGGATAAAGCCTTTTCAATCTACCCTAATGCCAAAAGAGTTCGTTAAGAAAGGAAATTGAAACTACTAAGAAAACTGAGATTTTAGGAAACTCGAGAAAGTTAGTCACCACAATGGAGGTTAGCTAGGAATCTTCCCTTAAAAATTTAGGGGGTTAAAGTGGGGAGAGAAACAGGCTGGAAATTAAACCCTTTGAAAATTACTAGATGTCCCAGGACTGAAAGGAACCATTACTATTAGTAATTATTTTCAACATCTGGCCCCCAAAAAAAGTCTCCAACAAAATAACTGTCAACCTATCATCTTCTTATCCCCTTTCTCCATCCTAGTCTTAACAACAACTCTGAATCAAAAAGATTTGTACACCAATGTTCACAGCAGCATTATTCAAATAGCCAAAAGTGGAAAGGACCCGTATGTCCAGCGATGGAGAAATAAAATGTGGTGTACCCTGCTGTTCGAAATGAGGGTGTTCCTATGAAACCTTTCATAAGCCAAAATGGCATCAAACAAAGAGTATCCTCTGCTTTACAAAAGTACAAGTTGCACCACTTTGCTTTTGTGAAAGACCTACTTTAGTACCGGTTTAGCTAACCAAAGGAAATCCTAAGATTTTTTACGTAAAAGCTGTTACCATACTAGTTCTGGTCTTACACAAAAGGGAGGAGGCCTAATGGGATCTTTTGGAAGGAGGGGCCTACCCATATACATTCAATGGCATATTAGTCACAAAAAGGAATGGCATTTTTACATATGCTACAAAATGTTTGAATCAGTGAAATAAGCCAGACACACAAGACAAATACTCGATGATTACAGCTATATGAGGCACCTAGAATGGTAAATTCATAAAGAATAAAGGTTAAATAGGCTAGGGGAACAGGGCAGGGAATGGGGGAATAAGAAATTACTGTTTAATGGACACAGATTTGATGTTGGGGATTATGACAAACTAGAGGCCCTGTGCACAAATTTGTGCACATTGAAAGGAAATTAATTAGAAGGTGGCCAGTGGGGTAGGACTGGGAGAAACAGATGGCCAGACTCACCCTGGAGCCAACCTCCCTCAGTCCCTTCCTGGCTGGCTGCACCTGGGATGACACTGTGGCTCAAAAGGCATCTGTGGAGTGAATAGGGTCCCTCCAGCAGGTTGAGTCCCTCAGCCCTGCCTGCAGGATGGGGCCAAAACTGCCTCTCCAACATGCCCTGAGAGGTCCTGCAAAGTTGCTGTTGTACAGGGTATGGAACACAAATGCAAATGTCCAGTAAACCAGAATCCGGCCGACAGTGTCCCAGCAACAACATAACCCATGGTCAAAGGTAGAATTGTGTGGCCCCACAAGGAATGGGGCTCCCTCTTCTCTGGTTCCAGGGTGCATTACCCGAGAACCACCACTGCCAAGTCACTGCAGCTCCTGCTTTGAGTGTCTGCCCCCTGGTGGTCAGCGCATGTCATAGTAACCAGTTGGATGGTAGGAGAGACACTTAGCATATTAGCTTTTTATATATATAGATGTTTGGGATGACTACACAATATTGTATTTAATGCCACTGAATTGTACACTTACAAGTGGTCACAGTGATATATATATTATGTTATGTATAGTTTACCACACAAAAAATAACAACAAAGAGGGAACGTACCATTAAAAACATTATTTTTTTTTTTTGGACTTCGACTTTGGACTTCAGAAGCTCGGCTGAACCTTCCTGGACTGCCCAGCACGTACGATGCTTCCAACCAAGCTTCCCTCCCTCTCCTTCACTTGGGACTGGACTTGCATCTGGGTCTGCTCGTCCTCAGGCCTTCCCCAGTTCCCTCCATGTCCCTCCACACACTGTCCCCCTAGCACAGCCTGTGCGCGTTTCATTTTACCTTGGCGCCTGCTTCTCGAAGGATCAGGATTAACACCCAGAGTGAATGCAGCTGCTGCCCTTGTACCCAGGCACCTGCGAGGCCCCTCCCTGGGCATCCTCAGAGTAATCACCAGGACGCAATGAGCCACAGCCGGCTAACTCACTTCAAAAAAGCTTTTATTGAATTCAATTCCCAAAAGCACTGATTTTTTTTAGACA